CTTATTTTTCCTCTTTGTACAGCTTTATATATCCATTTATAATTCCATAATTCCAAGCGGAGTGTCACCATCATGTGCTTATCTGTGTGTGCATCTATCTATCTATCAATTAAGAAAGATGCAGTAGTTACCAATATTTTTATTTGAAATTTTGCAAGAACTGTCTGTAAGAACGAAAGTTCACAAATAACTTTGTGTCAGAAGAAAGAAAGAGGCAAGAACATGTGTGTGTTTCTTTTTTTTTTTAAACAAAAAAGAAAAAAGGAAATAGTATTATTCACAGCCATGAACGTGGTACCGTCCATGTGTAGAAAAACAGATGTAGATCAGTTAGAAGCCAAAAGATCTATGAGGTCTCCAAACTGACAAAAATAATAGGGAAACAGTTAAGCCATAAATTAAGGAAATGAAGTCAAATATGTCTAACCCTACTAAGAAGGCTTTCTATATCCTCTCTATATCCTAAAGAAAGGAGGAAAGAACTGGTTAATGCTATGTTGTGTGCTTGAGTGTGGTTTTGATTCATAACCAGATGTTTTATTGTGCCCCATGGCCACTAAGTTATGGCATATTGCATCGAATGGAATACTCAAGTTGATCGGAGATCAGGAAGCTTGGTAGTTTTAGAATTGTGGGCAATGGTAGGATTTTTGGCTGATCGGTCTCAGTAGAGTATTTTGCACCGTTTGGGTCATCTTGAAGGTTCTGTCAGAGTGAGGACTCCAAGCCCTCTGGTGTTTTATTTATTTATTTATTTTTATTTTTTTTTTTTTGGGGGAAAAGATTGGTGTTTTCTCTTGGTCGAAGCATCACGCATTAATTTGTGATTGGGACATGCAGGCTTTCTTACATTCTGACTAATTTGTAATCTCATTCTTTTGTACATGGATCCCCCTTGGTGCCTTGTTCATGATATTCTTATTTTTCTACTTAAAAAACAAAAAAGGGATTGAACACTTACGAAAATCCCCGTCGAATAATGTACAAAATAGTGATAGAAGTAATCGCTTTTCTGTGGTCCTAGTCAACCTCAATCCTGCCCTTTGCTCAAATATCTGCTGGTCTTTATGAGCCTAAGAAGTTGATATAATGAGCCTAAGAAATTCTAGGGCTGCTGGCAAACTTTCGTTTGATAGCTATTTAGATAGTTCTGCTTCCTCTAAAGTATCTACTTCTGGGTGGAAAGCAGTGTGGCAGCTCATTTTAACTATGGATACTCCTGTAAGAAAAGGAAAGCTGCTACATAATGTAATTAGTGCAGAAAAATGTCCTTGCCATTTCCTCCCTTTGTATAGCTGGCTAGAAGGTTGCATGAAATAGCCTTAAAGTTTGTAGGGTAATGGCTAGAAGGTTGCATGAAGTAACCTTAAA